GATACACAAATAGAACCGAAGATAATTTTATTGAAAATTTTGGTGGAGGCGCCGGGACAATTTAATATAAACGTTATACTTTAGCTATACTTCCGGTTTCATTGAAGTAGATTGATGAATTTTCATCTTTTAATTATATTTTTTCCATCTAGAGATATACAGTTAGTGATGATAGTTCATATTTCTCTTTTTACAACAAATTTTACTGAACATTTTGGTGGAGGCGCTGGGACAATTTGAAACAAAGTCTATACTTGGGCCTTAATTCCGGTTTTATTGAAGTAAATAGATTAATTTTCATTTTTAAATAACAGTTATTCACTGTAGACGCAATTAGGAACGTTAATTTATATTTTTCTTTTCACAATTAAACTACAATTTTGTAATATAATACAGATAAAATGAAGCGATTTTAACTAAATTTTCTATTAGAAATATGTGTTTCCTAAACGAAATTTTAAACAAAATAGATTTAGTTACTTTATTATTTTTTACTGTACAATATATTTTTTTTCTAGAAATTGATACAATTAGGGCTTTGTGTTCCAAAATCGTGTGATTCAGAAGAAATAGCAATCTTGATGCGTGAATATTTAGATTCCGGCTATTTCAACTTCAAAAACTTCTACAATGTAAGCATGGAAATAGAAGAAATTAATTCTGTTTGGGAGAGCGATTTAGAATGGTTGCTGTTACCTAAAACGATCGTTTTTCTGTGAGATAACATTTATCCACTTTTTATTTAAAAATATCACAAACAACTTATCTTGCAGCTCAATTTACTCACTCACGCTATTACTAATCATTGTGGGAACTGTATATGATGTAAAAGTAATGCAACCGAGACTCAGAAAGAAAAAAGAAGAAAGTAATTTCATTAAAAATGGTAAGTACAACACGATTGCTTTATTGACAACGAACTTACGTTCCGTTAGACAAGTTTTTCCCCAACGGTCAATTACCCTTAAGTATCTATAGGTAGGTACAGGTCGGACGAAGGAAGCTGGCGAGCGGTCGCGCAGGTACTTGCCCATTTATGACTTATTCGGGTAAGTCACTTGGAACCGATACACAAATAAGCTTTCAGTAGGCGAAAATTATAGTATTAATGCAGATAAGACAATAGCGTACTAAAAAATAATGTAAAAACATGACTTATCAAAAAGAAAAAATTAACCTATTGCTTTTGTTTTATAGTTAGTTTTCACATTCACTCTCATCATGGGAATCTCTATCACTGTCACCAACATCAACAATTAGTTCTTCTGTTTGTCTGTCTATTACTTGCTCACTGATCCCTATTTTTAAATATTTAATCTACGCCCCTGATAGGAATACTGAAGAATGAGGGCTGCAAT